TTTGCAGTAATAAGTGGAGGGGTGCTGAACACAGGCGGCTCCCTCTCTCAATGGTCATGAGCTGCTATTGAAACGACAGTATGCAGCAAAACAAAACAACAAAAGAGAATGACCTTGAGTCTGATAATAGCGTTTCTCTCTGAAATCTTTTCCTTTCTGTTGAGCTGTGGGATCCGCCCGCATCAAGTGGTTTTTATCTTTTTTGTTTTGTGTGTTTCTGTGTTTACATGGAGCGATTTTGGCCAGCTAAACCAACATACATAAGCGTTGCTATACAGGGTTTTATGCCGTTTGTGGACTAATCTGACAATTGTATAGAGTATTATGAATGGAACTTCTATATAAAGGGCTTCATTGTCCAGTGCAAACACAAATAAAAAGACTTCAGTATGAACAGAGGATTTCTGTAAAACATGCTCAAACACAGAATGTCAGGACAATTTCATTAGGGGTCGAGTTTAGCTCTCAGCTTGATAATGAGGCATCAGTTTTGAGTCTTTCAAAGGTCAAGATGTGATGTGCAAACTGTGCATCAGTACCTCCACCAGCCCTTGTAATATCCTCACAAAGATGACACATCCATAGTGCGCCCGGGCAGCGGCTGGAATGAACATGTTCAGGGTGGATGTCAGCACGATGGCAGCCCCAAAAACTCTGGATAAACAGCGTGTTTGGGATTATTTGTCAGAATATAATCAAAACAAGATTATTTGATTCAACCAGATACAGATATTGATCAATTCCAAGCCCTTCACAGAAATGAAAACATTGAATAAGTAACAGAATATACAGTGTTATACTGTATGATTCTGTACATACTGAAAGAATAAATGCTGATAAGGACGATAAATCAGTCCTAATTGGATGGCACACACACACACAAAGGCAGTTATTCAGTTTCCAGGGGAGTGAGGACAGGAGGTGTTTGCAGCAGAAGGCTTCAGTGGGCTCAGCTGACTTGGCATGATAAAGCTCTTCAAAGATTTGCATCTTATTTAGGCTCCATTTCCCTCATGAAATGTCTTACAGTCTGATAATGTTAACTACAAGGACTTTTACTGCAACCTTATTCTGTTCTGGTTGCTGTTTATCTCCTCCTATATCACTGCTATATTCACATGATTTACTAATTGGGAATATATTCCTTCCTATTCCTATCTTTGTTGCATTTATTCTGCTCCCCTTTGTCTATTAGTAGCTGACTCAGAATCAGCTGTTGATAAAATAATGTAGCCATTGAAATCATACTGCAATCATTACTCAGAACCGCATTTCACACAAGGCTTTGGCTGGTGTGGTTGCCATGCCTCTGAACATAAAGGATTAGACATGGTAGTCCCATGGGGGCTCATTAACATGAGGAGGCACGCCTGGTGGGCATCAGCCAAATCCTCAGTTTATCTGCTGTAAGGTCAGACCACTTTCTTCAAACCATGAGACCGACAGCGCAAATAACACAGCTTCATTTCATATTATGAATTAAAAATGGGATCATGTAAGCCAGAGAAACTCATATTTAGAAATGTTTTTTCTTGTTTGTACGCTATTTCTTAAAGTATGGAGTGCAGTTACCTGTTTGCCGCCAGTCTGGAGGAGATATACCCTCCTGGAATCTGAGTGACTATGTAGCCCCAGAAGAAGGAGCCATGAATCATCCCCACAGTCTCTGGGTCCCAGTTGAATTTCGCTTTCTTTCAGACACACAAAAATAAAGACACGTTTTAATGAGCGCTTCCATTTATCTCCCATATAAAAAGGTACATTTTAATTCGTTAAATGTGTAATAAAAATGCTTCATATGAAGTGTGAAATATTGACAGTGGAAAATACTTTCAGAAATATATGTTATTTGTTGCTTTAATACCTTTGCAGACACCAGTGGGTATATAAGCTGATCGATCGATTATTTAAAGTAAAAAAAAAAAAAAAACTACATTAATTTGCTTCTACTTAATATAATATACAGGCCAAACACCTGAAATCCAATTTAAAAGTACATATAGACTCAACTGAGGTTCTCCAATATGTGTTTAACTAAAAAATAATGGATCAGTCTAATTGGCCCCTCAAACGTGGGGGGCTCTTGGGTGTAACGGGGCGGAGTTTGCATGCACCTCTTTGATGATGATCTTGCCGTTTTGATGGATTGTGCTGTTATTGACCATGCTGACGATGGCCACACCCAAGTTACACCGGATACCGAAGGAGATGCAGAAGCCGAGCCCGCTCAGCATAGCGATGATGTATCTGCGCGGAAGCCCGAAGCATGTGCAGTCACACAGGGGCTTCTTCCGCTCCTGGTCCGCCGAGGGTCTCCCATCCTCCGTCAGCTCGATCACCTCACCTGTCTGCTGCCGCTTTTCCAGCCTCCTGCACGACAAGCCGATGCATTTTTTTTTTTTACTCGATTTAAATTTGAATATATGAAGTCAAACATCCAGGCTGTTTTTTTTAAAGGAAGCATGAGGGGGAACTATCAGTGGAAAATATGTGATTTGATTGATTTCCTGCAAATTAACATTAAAAAAATGTATTTATTCACACGCATATTAGAGACTAGTTGCAGCTGATACTACAGAAGAAAATGAGCTTTCATCTTTAATGTGTGCTCTTTCAACGACCGGCCTTGACAATGTCTTTATTTCCCTCTTTTGATTTGGCTCGGGCCCCCTCAGCCTGCGCCCTTTAAAGTCAAACTGCATTTTTTCGTTTCGTTCCCTGCAGAAATTCTCCATGTTCTTGTAAAAGAAAGGCTCGTTGGCAAACGAAGAGAAAATGACCTTAATACCGCATTGCAGCAATATCAGCACCGTCGTTGTTTAGAGTTCATTTCTGGGTTTTTTTGTTTTTTATTAGCTCTCATAAATGCGGCGTTGGCATTTTGCTTTGGGCTCCCCTTGGAATTTGTGCAAAGGAATTTCAGGTTCATTTAAAAAGCTAAACATTGAAATGTGAAGGCCTCATCCAGTGTGGTAACAGGCCTGCTGCACCTTCAATCAAACCAACAGTTTTTTTTCTTTTCTTTCATAGCTTTGAGTCACGTTTCTGTGTTGCAGCTTAAAATCAAGTTCAACAACTGATTTAGGCATTTAAGGACCAAAATCAAACGAATAAGATGTGTGCATGCACAAGTAGTCATATTAAATGTACAATCTAGGCCTATATTTGATCAAAGATATGTGTTTCCAGATGATTTGCGTAAAAATCTTTTTCCCGGCTTAATAATCAATCAATGGCCATTTTATTCGCATTTCCAATGAGAATTTAATAATAATTAAATTGTATTAATCTGAAAAGCTGCTCCTCCGCATCCTGCTGCCCTCCTCTGATTTTAAACTGAAGATCCCTCTGCTTTACAGCCAGTTATCAGTTTTCTTTTGGACTACATTTTATTTAGACACTTGTGACATAAAGAATATAGGAAGTCAATTGATATGAAGTCCATCGATCTTGAATTAATACAGATAGATACATAAGGTAACAGATATCCTCCGACCTTATGTCACGACTCGCTCTGTTTCATTAATTATTAAAAAACACCCACAGCTGCTGGTGGAGGGGGTTCATCCTCCAGGGAAATATCTGATCCTTAAATATTCGGGCCACACGACTCTGCTTTCAGCATCCTGTCCGTGATTCGTCTCATAAAGGAGATTTCTTTCTTGATTTCATTGTGGGATAAATCAGTAATAAACACATTTGAAGTCAATGCACGTTTTTCTGTGTGGGATGTTAACATCTGGGGGGGTTTCTATTTATAATTTCTCATAAAAGATGTAATTCTGTGATTAAAAAACATGCAGAAATGGGAATTTCTTCGCCTTACCTGTACAGCTTCCCGAGGGCCTTTCCTGCGATTTGTTTTATTCCCTCTTTAGAGGTAGGGAGAGCTTTCTCCTGTCCAGGCTCCATGTCCAAATTATCTTGAAAAATTCTATAATACTATAACAAATGGAAGTGCTGCATTAATGAGCATATTGTGGTGATATTAATCCAAATAACGCGCCTCGGTTGTTGTTTTTTAAGCAGAAAACGTCTCGATGTCCTGAAAATCTCAGGCAGAAATGGAGAAAGAAGGGAAACACGTTCAGTCTGAAAGGGCTGGTTTCACAGTCACAAAACAGCAGTCAAATAAGTCCGCTTTTGCCTTGCGCAATGTTAATCCATGCAGTGCCATTTTAAGATCCAGTCAGCGATTATACAAAACAGCAAATCAGAAAAGGAAAAGTTGATTTTTGTGTGTGTGTGTTCTTTGAGAAATCGAGGTGGAAAAAGTAAAAGGAAATAAAAAAGATCTTCAGCCGGTGCAGGTAGTCAGTCGGAGCTCCGGTCTAATCTGAGGTGAGGATCTCCGGTGAGGCAGCAGCCGGAGGAGGTTTCAGCACCGCGGACAGCGAACAGCTCATCTACCTGTCAGCAGCTCCGTGCAGCGCCCCTCCTCCCTCCGCTCCGGCGCTCCTCTCCTTCAATTCAAATGTGACAGCGGCGACAATCGACAAACTCCCTCCTCCATTTATATAGAATATAATAATATAAAATAATTTCAGGATGAGCTCCGACCACTGATAAAACACTTTATTTAGCAGGAACAAAGCAATGACCCCCTCCCTCACACACACACACACACACACACATCCGGTTATTTCTCGGTTTTAGTTGGACAGTGTTAAAACTTCAGGGACACATTTTCTGAAAGCTTTGTTTTCAGTAAATGAATGAATGAATGAATGAACTGAAGATTCAAATGATTATTATTTCTTTAATTAAAGACAGACATGCTATTCACACACGTGAAGCCAGACTGTAAAGTACAGTGCGCAGTCAACCACGCAGAGGCAGTGTTGTGTAAGGAAGTTAAAGAGACCCAAACCTCAGAGATTGAATGAGATAAAGAAGACTGGAAACCATTGTTATAGACAGTGTATTTATCCTATTCCACCAATTAAACAAAACAGGCGATTAAACAAAGGACGTACAAAGGTTCCATATACAGTTTGACTAATAGACAAAGAGTATTATCACTTTACATGTGCACAGCTCACTGGGATCGAGGCGCGGGCAGTGCGCACACAGGTGATACAGTCGACATCCCCTGCTTTGTCCTCATCCGGGTCCGCTTAGATATCATAGAGGCCACCTGCGTACCCGGACAGTGGGAGAATATGACCGCAAACGTGCCGTGAAACTCCTTCCTGAACTGGCCTCCTATGAAGCAGCTGAACAGAGGGTTAACGCAGGTGATGATGCTGCAGAAGCACATCTCCAGGGCGAAGGCCAGGTCCGCATTGTGCCAGGACGCCGGGTTGTCGGGGTAGACCACCCGCATCACGATGGCCGCGTTTCGGCTCAGGTGGTAGGGCAGGTAGAAGAGCGCAAAGAGGACCAGCACTGCGCTCAGCACCCGCCGGAGCCGTCGCTGCTTGTTGTGCGGGTCGGGGCGGCAGGACCGGTGGCGCAGCTCTCTGACACTGTGCAGGCCGCAGTAGCAGATGGAGAGCAGCGGGAAGAGGAAGCCAATGAGGGAGCAGAAGAGGGAATAAGGGAGGCTCTCCCCGGTCTCACTCAGCAGTATGTATAGGGTGCAGACTGTGCGGTTGCTCCCGGGGCAAGTCTGGATCAGAGTCATGGTGGCAACAGGTATGCTGAGGATCAGAGCGGCCACCCAGACCGCCACACACAGCAGGCAGGTCTGCCTCCGGCCCAGCAGCACCAGGGAGCGCAGCGGGTGCACGATGGCCAGGTACCGGTCCACGCTGATTAAGGTGACGAAGAAGATGCTGAGGTAGAAGTAGTTGTGGTAGAACATCCTCACGGCCGCGCAGAAGGTCAGGCCCAGCTTCCAGTACAGGTGGTCCAGATGGTAGTTGATGAGGTAAGGCAAGGCCAGCAGCCACGAGGTGTCAGCCAGGGTCAGGTTGAAGAGGAACACCGTGCTGCGGGACCAGCGCCGCAGGCGGTGGAAGAAGACCCAGAGGGAGAGCAGATTGAGGGGGAGGCCAAGGATCAGCACCGCCAGGAAGAAGGACGGCATCACGTAGAGCTGGACCACCGGTAAACCTTGATGTGTGTCCAGGCTGCAGAAGGCTTCCTCTGGAGGCTGGGTGGTCACAGGCACAGAGGTTCAACTTGGAGTTTATAATGTATATCTATTACCACATAGTTTGTATCCTGGGTTTCTTCATCTAAAGTATATGGTCAGGTAGTTACCCTTTATATTAAAACATACTACTCTTATAAAGCATCCTTTCACACTCTGTTGAGTGTATTTGTCATTTCATAAATCTTAACCTGATAGATAAAATGTTTAAAATCACAATTAACCTTTTCAACCTACCTGAACCTGAGTGTTGCCCATGTCTTTGTTACAGTGGCTTCTCTGTATGCCAAGTGGAAACAACCATGCCAACATATTTTGGTGTGAAACACACCCACCAGCGAGAGCAAACACTGAATAGTTATCAGTGTTCTCTCAGGCCATCTGTTATGTGAACAGCAACTTTCATGTCCACAGCAAAGGAGCTGACTGTCTCTAGTATGTAGGACTGATTCAAAAACATCCAACGATTAGTCAAGTTGAACTAGTACTTTATTTTGGAGATTCGTCTTGGTTTACAATGCAGTTAGATACAGAGACCGTTACAAAAATAACAAACAGATGAATGAAAAAATGAAAATGTAACTTGTAAGCATACAGTAAACAGGTTCACCATTTTTTCAAGCATGGTGACAGTATAAAATAAAAATATTAAAGCGTAACAAAGAGACAGAGAGAGAAAAAAAGTGAGTTAAAAGGAGATGTACAAGGGAATACAATAGAAAACAAGATATTAGATGTATTAAGGCATCAACAGGCACAAGTTTAGCTGAGCGCAGGGCATGTAAAGGGAAACTGGAACATTGCTCTCACATCTGTTGACATCTACATGCATCTCAAACAAACATATATTAAGTCGCCTGAGTTTGTAGCAGTCAGCTATTTTACCTAAAATTCAAATACTTAAAACAAACAGATATTTTTTCACATATTTCTATGTAGGCAGCCTAATAAAAAAATGTACTTCAGATAATTTCAAAACAAAAAGCTACATCTTTCTCCTTGTTTAAGCTTCATACATAAACATCAAATTCAGAACAGGGAACTCTTCAACTCTTCTTACTTACAGTAAAACTCTTGTTCAATTTAAAGATTATCACACATTTCTGCTTCAAAACACTGATTATGAATTCGTAGTGTCATGACAACTATTAGACTGACATGTTTTTTATTTTGGTAGTCACGTTTCATTAAGTGCTTTGTGCAAAATAATAATAATAAAAAAAAGAATGTGTATCTTTCCTTTTCTACACAGCTGAGGAAACCAGAAGCACAAGAACTGGGTGATGGCTGATGTGCTTTGTCTAACGGAGCAAACATAGTTCAGTAGGTAGGGGCAGGCTTTCATTAACTTCGACGTGTTGGTAAACAGAGGCACATTAAAAAGGGATCTCTTCACTCTCTCAGGGCTTTTCACTTCTCATCTCCAGGAACAGGACTCACTGTCAACAGTCAACACGCACCAGCTGCTGTTGCTGCTCAAAAAACTGGCCATCGCAGGACAAAATATGCCCTTACTCACAGTAGTAACAGCAGCACAGATTTGTCTTCATCAAAAGCTACTTCATGTGTCAGACTATAGCCTGGAGAAACTGAGGGTGGCTGTTATGAGATTAAAGCTAAATGTGACCAGCCTATTAACAGGTCCATTGCCAGCGGAGTGAAGAATATAATTTGGTAAAGCTGAGTTACATCTGTGCTGTGACCCTCAATGCTGTCAAATAAACAATGCTCACATTTGTCGTAGTAACTGTAAAAAACAAAACAAAAAACAATTGAGTTGAACATAAACTTACAGTATATGACACCAGAGCTCTTCATACAGCTGTACATACGAACAAGGTAAATACTCAAACCCAATAAGCAAGCTCTCAGTTTCCAAAAAAAAATATCAATTGTTTTTCTAGTGACAGATAGAACCAATAAGTTTGTGATATATTAAGGCATTCAATCTTTGGTTACTTGTAGTGGCACTTAAATAAATAGTCTTAAAACAAAAGTAAGTCGCCTGTCTTAGACACAGTGTATGAGGTTTCCTTTCTTTCTATACAGCAAATTTGGATTATCCTCAGCGCTAGAATTACAAAACAGAGAGCGAAAGGCCATAAATATGAGGTTTAAATTTATGTGCCTCAAGTCTCAGCATGCATTAACACTTTCACCTTTGTGCACTTCCACATTTAGCACAATAGTAGAAGTGGGATGGCTGTGAATCTTTTTAATAAAAGGTTTGTGTGTGTGCTGTTTTTACTGCACAAACAACAAACACTACAGAAAAGTGATGGTCAGTATTATAATACACAAGCAGGGCAATCTACATCAACATGTCCTCCCATCATGTCCAGCTGACTGACCAGCAGCTTGCTGTGCTAGAGACATTCTGACAGCACCTCATGTTTGGGTAAAGATGGATAGATCATGGGCGTGCAGGTACACTCGTCGTGGGTGTTTTGGCTGAGTTGGACCTTCAGCTTCTCCACTTCATAGTTGTGGAGATACTCCTGGACCAGGTAACGCTCTCTCTTGACCCGGGCCCTCACGTCAGAGGGAATGTCGGGAATCATCCAGGCCACAAAGAACTTGACCAGGAACACAACATGCTGCGGAGGAAGCAGGCACAGCAGGTTAGTTTTACTTCAAAGTGGAGAGCTGCAGAAGAAACTCATGGATGTATTATATCTGAGAAATGTGTGTGTGGGAGAATGAGGGTTACTATTAATATCAAAATCGACTACTGCCCAGTGTAAGAATGTGAGGCTCTGCTCAAGCGGTCAATAAGTGTTGGTGGTGGTGGTAGAAGCACAGCGGCTTGGTTTTTACCTCCATGATAATGATGAAAGCCAGCTTGGCAGCCAGAATGTGCCAGAACTGCATGGTGTGGGAGTACTCCTTCTCATGGCCAGGAGGATAGCGGTAATCACGATACCTACAAAGAAGCAAGAGATGTAAATTTACTACTTTTATACAGACTTTGATTCAATGCAAAGGGAAAACGAAGTTATGATTGCTCTAACATCTACATAATATCTATAAAGTGCATTAAAACAATAAAAAGGTACATGTACAATATATTAACCACACAACAGCATAATAAGGCTACTTTAAGTTACTCTGATTGTACAAACAAAACATATGATAAACTTCTAAAATATGATACTTTACTATGGATTCGGTATGCCACCCAAGTTACATTTGAACACATCCATAGAAGAAGAAAAATCTACTAATGCAGTATATATATATATATAT